AACAAGCTATACATACAATTTTAGTTATTGTCTATTTTATAGTTTTATACTATGCTACTATATCTGTAATCTGTTTGTGAGTTATTTATTTAAATACTCTGTTTATTAACCTATACAGATCTAACTTAACATTACTGTAATATCTAATATTTAAGCCAGCTAGCTTGTTATAAATCTATTTATTCAGAACAGTTTAGATCTTCTCAGGATATATTGTACTTAATACATTATAGGTATTACAGAGCTAGTTAACCTCAAAGTATATCTACTAGAGCAGTTCATATCTATTTTATGAATTTATCTAGTTTAGATACTCATAGATGTTCATACAACCTCAGTTCCTACTATAGTTTTTCACTAGTTTTCTGTATTCTATCTTCTTAGATGTTTCACAAAGCAAATCTTTCTAATCTAGTTAGCTGTCAAGCCAAGTTGGTATTACTAATTCTTCCTGTAAAATAGATTTATATACGTCTAACTCGATCTGCATCTTTTAATAATAGTTTCTTTTTTGGATCAAGTATTAGCTAATATGACTATTAAAAGCTATATTACTTCACCAATTCAGGATTTCTACTATGTAGGTCCTCTGCTTATAGATCCTATTAAGATTTATTTATATAATATTATGTCTCTTCAAATGCTTCGTTATACTTTTAATATCTGGATGATATTAGTATAATATGATTTACAGAGTTACAACCCTAGAAACAAACAGAGTTTACTATAAGTTGAGTACAAAGTTCTAGGTAATTATTCAAATTTGTTAATAGTAAGATTTGAACTTCAGACCTTTTGCATAGTGGTCTGACAATCTAATTACTATACTAAGATCACTAAACTTTAAAAATTATATTTTATAATTTAGAAAATTTGAATTTTTATATAGAATTTTATATTTAAAATTATCTCAAATAAAGTATACTACTAATATCCTAGATTCATTCTAAGTTAAAATCGAAAAAAAAATTATTTCAGCTTAAACTCATAATATTTATACTAAATGCAATTTACAGAATTCAACTTTGTGATTATTGTATTCATATTAGGATATTTAAATTAATTATTATCGGAGATAATACTAAAATCAGATGATACTAAAATCTACATAATATCTATATTAGCAAATTTTTTAAAATTTTTGAATATTGTATAACTAATCGAATAATCTATACTACTGTATTTAGTAGAGCTATAACCAAATAGAGGCAAAAAAATTTTTTGTTGTTAGTAGGTAAAAAGATAGTTTCATAGACATTATATAGTTTGTTAAATTTAATTTGTGCATTGTACTAGAGTCACTTTAACCAAATGACCTATAACGCACTGTATTATCTTTTTTTTTTTTTTTTTTTTTTTTTTTATGACCTGAGCTTTATAAAGCTAGAGATGCAGTTGGCGCTCTTTATTTAGAATTAATAGTTTATAATGAATATTTTAAATATTTACATAAAGTTTTTTTTTCTAACGATCTATTTGTTTTGTATATTTTGTGAAGACTATGAATTTCTTTAGACACTTGATTTTTAATAATTGTTAAGAGTGTAGAAATAGGAAGAGTATTGTTGCCCATTTAAGTGAAGCATAACAGTACCAAAGTTTATAGATTGTTGTGATGTGAAGTCAGTTCAATGCTTGTTTTTGAGAAGAATTCTGAGTACTTGATCCAAAAAACATTTCTTTGAGAGATGAAGGGTAATTAATTAAATTATTAATATTAAGAAATCTGTATACTATTTCCTAGATTTTTTCACTCAGACTGCAGTCTATTGCAAAATATTCTAGAGTTTAAGGTTTTTTAGTATACCAGAGGCAAAATTCAGCTTCTAGTGATTCTATGTATTTGAGCCTATAACTAAGGGGAAGAGATCTGTGAAAGAGGCACCAGTATATATCTTTTTTCTTGTTTATAATTGATTTTATAGATAGCCAGTTTGTTGTTAGCAGTTCTGGTATTATATGTTCTTGAGGAAGAATAGGCTCTGTCATTCGAAATATTTGTAAAACCTTGTTTACTATAATTTCATATCCTTTAAAATTACTTAATGTAATTTTTTCTTTGTTTCAAGGCCAGTTTGTATTAGCTAGGATTTTGCCTTCTGCTCTTTTCCAGGCCAGAAGATAGGGTTTCTATTCTATAGGCTAGACTTTAGATCGAATATTATCAGCTGTTAGTGCTTGTAATGATGAAATATCTCTTTTATTTCTAAGAGTTGATCTAATTTTGTCTCTTTCGTGTTTTGCCCAAAAGTGCTTAGATGAGAGTAGCTTAAGCCAAACTGTTATTAGTTATGTATCTAGCATATCTTTGATTATAGGAGCTTGTAAACCAAGTTGCTTATATGATTGTTGAAAGACTAAGTATCTCGAAAGCATATGAGAATTACTCTTAATCCATAAGGAGGTTAGTTTGTTTATCTTGAATACCTACTTTCTATTTGGTGGAAAAAGATAAGCTGTATACCAAATTTTAGAGAGTATAAGTGATTTGGTAAGCAGAATTTTTCCTTTAAAAGATAAATTTCTGTTTACAAGTTTATCTAATAAGGTTTTGAGATTGCTTATAGTAGATTTCTAGAGATCCTTTTTGGAAAGATCATTAGAGTAAATACTATAACCTAATGTTATGATGAGCTTATTCTTCTTAACTATATAGAGTTTATTTGACTGTGATAATTCTACTCTGAATACTGTTGATATGAGAGGAACCAGTTTTGTTTTGGTTTTGTTAATTTTTATATTAGAAGCCTGTTCATAAGTTTCTAGAAGTTTGAAAGTATATTCCCAGTCTGAGAGAGAGCTTATTCCTATTGTAAGATCGTCTGCATAGGCTATAAGTTTAAAGGACTGATATTCTAGCTTAATACTTTGTAGATTGTTTTTTAAGTTTAGTAGCAAAGGTTCAAAAGCAAGTATATATAAAAGAGGTGAAAGTGGGTCTTCCTGTCTTACTCTTCTCTCTATTCTAAAAGCTTTAGATAGTTCTCCTGTTTTAAAGATATAGGCTTCTTGGTTTGTAAAAAGGTTTTTAACTAAAGAAATAAACTTTCTGTTAAAGTTTATTTTTTCTAAAACAAGTTCTAGAAACTCGTGACTTATATGATCAAATGCTTTCTGTTGATCTAAGAAAAGCATCTAATGTTGCTTAGTGTTGTCTTGTTGACTTCTTAGAGTTGTTATGATATCCATTGCAGTATCTGATATTGATCTGTTTCTAACAAAACCTTGTTGCTATAGCGAGATTATTTCTTGGCATATTGTGTTTAGTCTGTTTGCTAAGATTTTCATAAAAATTTTAGTATCACTGTTTACTAAAGAAATTAGTCTCCAGTTGTTTAGATTTTCCAGATTTGAAGATTTCTTTAGAATAAGTATAATTAGGTTTTTATACCAAGATTTAGATAGAAGACCTGAGTATAGCACTTGATTAAAGAGATTATATAGTAAAGGAGTGATCACTTCCTCTGTGAGCTTATAGAATTCATAGGTGAAACTATTAAAGTCAGGAGACTTATTATTCAGTAGGCTTCTAATCATATTTTTTATTTCCTCAAGCGAGATTTCTTGTATTAGTAAAGAGTTTTGTATCTCTGTAACTTGTGGAGCTTCTTTAATGATTTCGTTCGTAGCAGCTAAATTAATCTCTTCTTTTCTGTAAATTTTTGAATATTCTTCTCTAATATAAGAAAGAGTATTATCCTTGTTCTGAGCTGAATTTAAAAGATCCTTAACTTCACTAAGAGCTGAGTAAGATTTTCTAGATTTATATTTCGAGAAGAAGTATTTAGTTGATTTTTCTCTTTGCTCTATTCATTTTGTCTTAGAGTGGAGTTACCATTTTTTTGCTAGAAGAGTGAGTTCTTTTTGCAGTTTGGAGTTAAAGTTGTCTGCTTGAGTAAAAAAGTATATATTTGTAGAGTTTTCAGCAAGTTTTTTGTTTATCTGAGTAATTTGTTTGTTAAGTATCAATATTTTGCTTTCTGAAGGTTTTGGTTTTTTGAAAGCTTTAATAATCAATTAGATGTATATTTTGCATAAGTCCTAATTATTCATGTTTTTATTTTCTTGTATTTCTTCTATTATTTCTTTTTTTAGTCTCTCATTATGAAAGCAGTTTTTATCAAACTTCCATAGAGGTGACTTGTTTGTATTTGATGTAAACTTTGTGTGCATTCTACTAGAAGGTGATCAGAGTTGCTATATTTGGTATTAGTTTTATGAATCAAGTAAGCATAGTTTCATCTATAAAGATATAGTCTAAGTGAGTTGCTATCATTCTATTTCCTCTTGTTTTTTGAAAAAAGATATGAAATGGTTTGTTAGTTGCAAGCTCTGAAGAGTTAATAAAGTTTTTTGTGAGGTCTTTAAGTTGAGCTCTTGTTGGATCATTCTGTAATGAGGACTCACTAATTCTATCTTGTTCAGGATATATATTAGTATTAAAGTCTCCTGCGATGATGTTTATCATATTGTCTTTTACTTGAGGAGACCAGTTGTTAAAGAAAATTGATCGTTCACTTTGACTAGGAGGTACATAGACATTTGTGAGCTGAAAGGTTAAGTCTTTATAGCTAAAATTTGTAGTTATAATTCTATCATTTGCTTCTATTTTGGAGCTCTGAAAAGTTATATTTTTGTTACCTGCTAATATAGCTGTTTTGTTGAACCATAATGAATTGAAAGCCCATTATTGTTATAAAAACATTTGTGTATCTTTGTTGTTAAGGTTCGTCTCTTAAAGCATTATAATATCAAGATTATAAGACTTAAGAAGAGTAAGAGTATTTCTTTGTTTCTGTTGATTGTTTAGTCCTTTGATAAGCATAAGAGTTGAGTTAAGGTAAAAATTTTAGAACTACATATTTTGGCTCTTATTATAAGTTTTTTTCTTGTAAGGAGCAGTTCTGGTCTCTTCTTGATTTTGCGCAGATACTTTCTTTTTGTCTTTTTTTTCTTTTGTTTGTAGTGATTATATATTCTCTTTCTGAACAATTAAGTTCTTATAGTTTATGATTATTGTTATCAATAATAACTATAGGAGAATTTACCTCTTGTACTATTTTCTTGTCAGAAGTGGTAGCATTTGTCAAGCTAATTTTCTGAGTTTTTGAATCTTTCTCCATATTTGTATCTTCTATAGTTATAGTTATATCCTCTGTTCTTTTAGATACGCTAGCTTGAGTATTGTTACTTTCACTAGTTCTGGATATATCCTGTTGCTTTTCAGTAGAAGAGTTTTTAGGATGTTCGTTTATATATATTTCTTGGGTTAAGGAAGAAGGAGTTGATATAGTTTTTCTATCTAATGTGTTTGAGGTGAGTTCAAGATTTTTTTCTTTATTCTTATTCCTTTGGTACTCTTTAAAATGATGATGAAGTGCTAAGGCTTCTTGATGTTGTTCACAATCTCTCTTGACATGACCTTCTTTGTCACAGAAAAAGCAAACCTTTGGAGCTGACTTCTATTCTGTAGTAATTTTGTTTTCTAGCAGAATATAAAAGTGAAGAATTCTTTTTTCCAAGTCTGAGTCATTTGTAGTATCAAAAATAATAATTCATTAGTCAGTTAAGTAGGAAGTTTCTTCAATTAAGAGTAGTTTGATCGATGCAATTTTTATCACATCTACAAAGGCTTTCTTAATAGCTTCAGAGACTAGATTTTTATCTTATAAAGGAATGTTTCTGATTTTGACTAGAAGAAATGATCTTCTATTATCTATAGGAATAGAGCCAAGATATGCTTTGTTAAAGATATCTACTCCTTTAACTGCATACTCTTGTAATTTTTTTTTGTTAGCAAAGATAATTTCTAAGTGAGTACAGACTTTTCTATTGATATGTGGTTTTGCTACTATTATATTATTTCTCATATTATCATAGAGAGAAACCATGATATCATTTAAAGAACAGTTTTTTAAACTATTAATATCTAGTAACAAGGCATTATTATTTTTGGATCTAATAGTACTTCTTAGAGAATAGGAAGTAAAAGTAGATTGGCACCTTTTGTTTTTTTGGTTCTCTTGCAAACTCGAGATGTTTGTAGATGTTTCTAGATGAGATTTATTTGCTGTTTTGACACATGTATTTGTTGTTTTGGTTACGTCAGTATTGTTTTGCATAGTATCATGTGCTTTTTTATCTATTGTTTTGTTTTCATTGTTCTTGCTTTTTCTGCTTTTTGGGATATGTTAGTCTTTTTTTTTTCAAGCTCTTGGCTTACTTGTTCTTCCCAGTTAGAAGAGTTAGTTAATGGTTTCTTTTGTTTAGAGTTATTAGAACTCATATCTTTCTTGCTAGTACTTGTAGCAGAGTAAAGATTTTCTTTGTTGCTACTACTTGCTTGTGAACTTTCAGAGAGTATAATTTTTTTGTTTCTTTTATTTTCTAGATACCAAAGTTTACATTTTTTTGAAACTAGGGCTAAAGCCTGAGTTTTGTTTAAAAAAATAGTTTTAGTTTCTTTAGTATTAAATATTTTGTAAAAAGTTTTTACTCTCAGGCCTAACTTTATATAGTTAGAAGAGAGTGCATGTAGATCTAACTATTTAATTTTAAGAGAATAATAATCAAAAAAACTATTATTACTGGTATCTAAAGGTAATTATGAATAAAAACTACAGGATCTTAAGAGAACTAGTAGAATTTCACTTGTATTTATATCTATAAAAACGTTATAGGTATAACTAATACTATAGGGATATTATCTAGGTACTACTCTGTCACAAAATGATAATCATTTGATATATGGTATCTCAGAAATTCTATTTAGTAGATCATTTGAAAGATACTATTCAGATACTATCTGGATACTATTCAGGTACTATCCTAAGGATATTACAAAGGATAAACATAATAAAAATACAAATATAGAAATAAGATATAATATACTAATTTTAGAAATAAGCTATAATAATAAAATATATAAAAATGATTTTATATAATAGAAAATAGATAGAAAATATAGATTAATAAAAATTAAGAGGTAACATTAGAAGTTTAGCTGAAATATTGAGTATTGAGAGAGTAGCTTTGAGTTGTTCTTAGTTCAGTTGCTGATAAGAGTATTTATTGTATTTAACTGTTTTTTGTTAGGCAAAAGAAGATAAGCTGTATATTGGATTTTAGAAATTAGTAGAGTTTTTGCTATTAGAATTTTGCTTTTGAGTAATAAGTTTTTTAATGAAAGATCATGAATACTCTTTTTGATTTTTTTAGTAAGATTAAACTAGAGATTCTTTCTGATACTTCCTTTGATAGTTATCTCGAAATCAAGAATCTTAAGATATTATCATTGTTTTTTAATATTTTGAAACTATTCATATCAGAGAGCTCTACTTGGCATGCACAGTCTATGAGAGAAGCCAAAATTAGCTTTGTTTTGTTGATTTTGAAGTTAGAAGCAAGCTTATATTTTTGGAGTATAGTTTTAAAGTTGAACCTATCAAAAAGAGATCCGATACCTATTGTCAAATTATCTGCATAAGCTGCCACCTTGAATAGAAGGCTTTGAAGGCTTATACCTCTAATGTTGTTGTGTATTGCTTGAATAAATGAATTTATTATTAGAATATAGAGTAGTAGTGAGAGTAGATCACTCTGTCTAACTTCTCTTTCAACTTTAAAGTGTTCTGATATTCTTATTGTATTACAAATAAATTATTAATTATATTAACTATTTTTGAACTGAAGCTCATCGTCTCTAGTATAAGATTCATAAATTGGTAGCTGATACAATCAAATGCTTTTTGCTGATAAAGAAAGAGGAGCTAATGCTGTTTAGGTTAGTTATTTTAATTTCTCAATACTGTTATAATATTAAGAGTAAAGTTCATAATTAACTTATTAGCAATAAAAGCTTGTTAGGAAGGACTAATAATTTTATTACAGATAGGGTTTAGTCAGTTAGCTAAGATTTTTATAAAGATCTTTGCATCATAATTGATAAGTAAAATAGGTCTCCAGTTGTTAATATCTTTTAAATTATCAGACTTTTTGGTATAAGTGTAATAATACTCTTGTACTATGAATGGGAACTAGTTCTATAATTAAGAATCTGATTAAAAGGTTTTGTTAGAACTGAAGTGATTTTCTCTTTGGTATCCTTATAGAACTCTATGTTAAACTATTGAGCTCTGAAGATTTGTTATTTAGAAGTGTATCAATAATTTTGTTAATTTCGTCTTCTGTTATAGTTCTGATTAGAGCATTATTTTGGTCTAATAAGACTGTAAGAAAGCCTTGTATTAGTTCCTTTGCCACATTAAGATTAATTGAGTCTGCTTTGTAGATATTCTAGTAGAAGTTTCTAATATATTGCAGTGAGTTTAAGAGAGTTGGAGCACTGGAACTGTTTGGATTTATAATTTTGGCACTATATGAAGTAGAATATCTGAACTTATAGAGTGAGAAGAAGTATTTAGTAGATTTTTTGCCTTCTTCTATTCATTTAGCATTAGATCTTATTTGCTACTTTTCTGAGAGGAGTGTGAGCTCTTCTTGTAGTTGAAGTTTGAAATTCTCTGCTACAATTTGAAGATCTTTTAGAATTAGATTTTTAGCTATTCTGTTATTAATTGCAATTAATCCTTTGTGAATAAAATCTATTGTTTTTTTTGGTACTAGTTTTGGCTTAAAAGCTCTGCAGATTGATTGAAAAATAACCTTATGAGAGTCTTAGTTGCTAACATCTTGAATACTTTCTATTTCTCTAAAGATTTCTGATTTAAGATTTGAAGTTAACCAAAACTTTCTGTTGAATTTTCAGAAAGAGCTAAATTCAAGTTCTGAATTGAAGACTATTTCATTTTCTACAAGAAGATGATCAGAGTTTCTAAAATGAGTGCAGGTTTTTTTGCAGAATTGGCTATGGTTAGAGTCAATGAAGATGTAGTCTAATCATGTGGCTATTCTTTAATTATCCTGAGTAGCTTAGTAAAAGGTTAGGAATAGACCTGATCTTGTAGCTTCTGCTGTATTAGTAAAGTCTGATACAAGGTTTTTAAGAAGATCATTAGACAGATCTCTTTGAGGATGAGCTTGACTAATATTATCTTTTTCTAAATTAATGTTGACTTTAAAATCACTTGTAATGATGTTGACTACCTCTTTATCTCTTAGAGGAGTTCAGTTATTGAAGAAGTCTCTTCTTTTATCTTGTCTTGAAGAGGCATAGATATTAGTTAGGAGATAATTATGATATTTATATGTAGTTCTTGCTAAAATTATTTAACTATCTTTGAGTTCTTGTGAGTTAAAAAATTGGATTTTTTTTGTTTCTAGCTAGAATAGCTATTTTTGAGAATTAGATTGAGTTATAGTTCTATTGATGTACTAGGAAGTTTCTAGTTGATATATCAGTTAGGTTTGTTTCTTGTAAAAAGATAATATCTAAGTTGTATTATTTTAGAAGTATAATTGTTTTTTGTACTTTAAACTTATTGTTTAAACCTTTTAAGATGTAACTCAAAACTCAAAAACTAGAACTACAAACAAAATGCCTCGTAGTTTGTCTAAAGAGCTTTTGACTAAAATAATTTTTATGTTCAGTATTGCTATTTTGATTTTGTTTATATAAAGGAAGAAGCTTGTTAGATAAGTTATTGAGTGTTTTAATACTCTTAGTAGTGACTATCTTTTGTTTCATTATCAGATACAAGATCCTTTTTTCTCATAGGTTTTAATAATTTGATATGATTTTGTTTCTTCTTTTTGAATTTGTTTTTGGATGTTTTTGAAATGTTTGTTGTAGATATATTATTATCTGCACTGTTACAGTCAACCTCCTCTATAATCACACAGTTGGTTCTATAAGGACTTTTTTCAAAAAAGTGCTTATAAAGAGGTTGTGCTTATATAGAAGTATTTTTTTATA